GATTATTATTGAAATAATAAACAATAATGTCGTCAAATTGAAAATTTATCGTTGCTCTTTTCTGAAATATCCCTTATGCCCAATACAATAACCGATAAAGTGAATTGTAATTTATAAGCAAACGGCCTTTTAATTTGTTTTACGTTACAATGGTTTTTATCATTAACGATTGATTAGGCGCGAAGAAAACTTTGAAACTTCTCGCTCAATTGTCAATATCAATTTTTAATTATTTAAAAACAGATATTATTAATGTTTCCATTGCTTACTTGATAAACGCTCGGGTAATTTTATTTTTTAATAGTTATATACGTAGTTAATATTTAATAACTGTAAACTGTATTTTTTGTTTTGTTTTATATAAATTATTATTTAAAAATTGAAAATTACTTTCAGTTTGGTTATATTTAATTTGAAATGTAAAGCCCATTGTATAAAGACGTGAAATTGTATTTATTATTGAAATAATAGGAGAGTTTTTATTTTAATCTATTTTCTTATCTATTATTTTAATCTAATTTTTTATCTATTATTTTAATCTAATTTAAATTTATTTTAAGTTTTTGAGGTCCTTTAATTAATGAAACAAGATTTCTCTAATGTAATATAGTACTTAGGTGGATAAGCCAAGTATCAACTGACTGATCGGGTATTAAATATCACTCAGGTCACAAACAAGAAACACATTTTCACATCATCAATTTACTGCTTAAGTCTATTTCACCTAATATTCTTACGATTAATGACCGATTAACACAGATCATCCGGTTGTCCGAAATAAAGCCGATAATTTAATCGTTATTTACGAAAATTATTTCAACACTTACATCTACAATATCAATTGTGATAGTGTTTTTTTTTTTGTTTATGTGATATTTTAACAACCAAATTTATTATAGACAACGAGAGATTTTTATTCCATTATATTATTATATTTTGATTTAACGAGTTTATATAAACGACGTACATATTGTTATTAACATAACGTATAAATACAATGGCTCGATAAAAGTTAAATAAATGAAAATAAATAATCACAATTATAGATCAAATTACGTGAATTATCTCCAGTTTAATAATGTATAATAATATATTAAATGTATTTCGAACAAATTTTATTTGCATATTGTATATTATAAGTATATTAAATATGAATATAAGTACGTAATTTTTTTTTCTTCTTTTAGCTATTTATAGTCTCATTAGACTTGCATTTGGAATATTACATATTATCGAGGTTCTAGCATTAACTCGGAAATTTTTTTTTACGAATTGAAAAAGAATTATAAGCATGTTAAAGGCACTTCATTAGGAAGCCAAAGATTTTTTTACACTTTACGAACGCTGAATTACCTTTTGCACTTGGTAAAACTGAGTTATTAAAAATTAATTAATGGAAACGTTTGTATTATGCTTTACACTAACACTTAATATCTTTTTATATTCGAAATTAATTTTACATTTAACTTCGTAGCTCTTTTATCTATTAATATACTCTATTCTCTAATATTTCACCTCTGCATATTTATCAATGTATTAATACCAAAACATTTAATTTAACTTTTAGAACAAAGTTAATTTATTCGAATATTAATATTGAATATCACGTAAGTTATATCGATGTATATACATAACAAATCTATATTAATTCATTTTATCTAAGTAGTATTCTGCTTATGATTCAATTAATTGAAAAATTTTAATTAAAAATACTACAGAAATTACGCGCTTATAAAATACAGTACAATTGTATTTATAAGTATATATACAATATATGTATAAGTGCTCTCTTCACATACTTATCGTAGTAAATTAAATCTATGACTTCAAAGGAAAGATATAAATTAGATTCAACAATTATCAGGCACGAGCAAAAAATATATTATCTTGGAAATCTAAAATAATTATTCAAATTAGTAATTCTGCATTTATCGATAAAAGTATCGTTTAAATTCAATCAATTACCGCTAGAACATTCGACAAAATTGAATTCTATAATACATGCATATAGAATATACTAAAGCCGCTTATTACAGTCACTAATCATTTATAAATGCTTACATAGATTAAAAATGACATTCTCTGTTTTAATAAATGAATTAACTATTTCTCATTACATAAGAAAACTCGTCTCTTTATCCCAAGGCAAATAGAGATCTGATTTTTGCAAATGGGTCATTACACGAAACCTGCAAGACCAATACCAACTCGTATAATGTAACGGAGATTTTATTCGTAACTTTAACTTTTATTCGTACAATAAAGAGTAAAGCTTATCCGAGTTCTTGTATTTCGCTCGTAAATTTAACAAATTTTTGAGAAAATTCGTAATCGTTTTATTTTTCGTATTATTTTTGCCTATTATTTATGAAAATGTCGCTTAAACTCATTTGCATGGTAAAAGCTGTAAAATCCAAAAGAGCTCGTAAAATTAAAAATAATCGATCTTTGGATAATAAATAGTTCTACTTTATTTGAAAAATTTTTAAAAAGTTCATGTCATATCGAAGTAATACGATACGACAAGTGTTTTAACAAATCTAATTAAGATGTAATTAATGTAATTGATTCTCGCTATTCGTAATACTTTGTGTTACACCGGAAAATTCAACGGTTTCGTTAATGGATGATGTTTAATACCATTAGATAGATTATCAAGGCCAATGAAATTTTATTTCACTGACATATCAGCTTGAAAATCTCGTCAAATCACTTGGGTCGAGAATCACCGTCTCATTAAACATTGAGCAACATAACTCGCAATCTAATAATAAATATCAAATGAAGAGATTGAAGAAATATAAATTTGAACGGCGAAGAGAATCGATCGAGGATCGACAGTTTTCCGAGCACGCGAGTACGTTTGATGCTTATCGATCGAGGATAAAAAGTGGATTCGAGCGAGCTCTCGAATGTTGCCTCACAGAAGAAAAAGATCGTGATAATGTTTCAAGCTCGGTGAAGGGAGAGGGAAGAGGGGGCGATTGTCAGGCAGGCACCCCCTCGGTCTTGGCATTGGCTCGACGTGTTGTCGTGGCGGAAAAAGTCCGCCGCGGGTGCACTCAGCTTCCGCGTCGGGGCGTATTGACCAGGGCTGACGTCAGCCGTGCACTAGGCCTTAGAAAAAACGTCCGACCTAAACTGGGAGGGGGGGGGGAGGTGTGCGTGTGTCTGTGGAGAGGCGTCGGGACGGAGTAGGATTGTGGTAGGAGCTAGGAGGTAAGAGGAGGAGATGGAGGTTTAGCAGGATCGGGTGGGGGGGGGGCAGGAGGACAATTTCAGAAAAGAGCGAACGGCGTCGCGTGCGTCCGCCCCGAGCACAAAGGTAAAAAGGGAAGGAGGCCTGATTACAAACCTGCGCTAAGCTCGCAGCGTATAATATCCCGGCCTCCGCACGGCCTCCGTCTCTGCTCTCTTGACCCTATCCCACGCGCGTCCTTGACCTTAAGTTCCCCGTCCTTCTCGCGCTCAACTCGCTCGCGCGCTCCTTCCTATTTCCTCCTCGATGGCGTGAGCATGCACTTGGAGAACGAATTTCGCATCCACTAGCGTCGGTCGAGCTTTATTTCTCAGGCTGCACTTATTTTCCCCCTTTGAATTTACCTTTTAATCCTTCTTAGCTTTACACCCTTCCCCGAGAAACCCCACCCAACCTCTCGCCAGCCCTACCTTATTCATATCCATATATGTATAATGAAGGTCGCTCAAGCTATTTATTCAATGGATTTGTTGTATGAGTGTGTCGCTAATGCTCCGTAAGAAGAAAGCATGCGAAATGATTTATGTACGTCGTAGTTTTATGAAAAGTTCACGGAGAATCTTAATTCAAGTACTGCGATAAGCTTCTCGCTCGTTTCGTGCAATTACAACTGATTTGTCGATGCGCGCAATCGTCCAAGAATTCTCATTTTCCGATTACGCGCGCGCATACGAACGCACGCAGAAAAACACGAGGACACTTATTAAAAAATCTCAATCATTTTTTAATCATCCGTTTTATTAATCATCCCAGAATCTGAGCATCAAAGTTATATATAATTTCAATCTCCGCAAAATTAATATATATATACACACACACGCGCGCGCGCGCGCGCGCACGCACGCACACATATATTAATTCGCTCGAAAATTTAAATGAATAATGCGATAATTAGAATTGTCATCTCATAATTGTATATCTACGCTAATAATGAGAATTAGACTCTATCAATTACTACTATTTTCACTTGTACTTTTTGCTTTAATCTATACCAAACAAATAATTTATATCAAATTTTATTCACCTTTAAGTTATTATTTATATATGTTTACATATACGTCCGATTAGAGGTTGTCGAGAGCTTCAGCCCTGCTAATAATAAATTTGCACGAGTGTGACATAAAATTCTGATAAACAAGTCCGATTAAAAGCAAAGGAAAGAACATACAAATGAAAAGGCAAACGAATGTTTCGTGCTTAATGAAAGTAAAATGTACGTCATGAAAAACTGAGAAATTTACCACGTCCAGCAGAATTTAATACTAATCGTTAAAGAAATTCATCACCGGGAGCTACACATTCTCAATAATAAAAAATCGATATCGCGAGCACGAAAACCTTGGATCAAAAATGAAAACCCAAACAATCGTGAATTACAATAGCCGTTGGATATCCCATAACACATGTTCATTTTAAAAGTAAATCGAGTAACCGGCAGTGAGAATAACTTAGCTTGCCGGCGATTGCGTGATCAGGGCGTTTGCCGCTGAAAAGAGATGGAACGTCACCGACTCCCCTTCGTCCCTTATCGCTCGTACCGCACTCGTTTCACTCATCGTGCATTTTTCTCACACCTATACCCCCCTCCCCTCCTCCCCCCCCCCCCCCCCCCCACCCCCCCCCCCCCCCCCTTCTACAATTACTTTTATGTAAAAGTATTTTAATTTTGCTCGCAACTCAATCTCTCCAGTACACAAGGTCAGAGATGCAAGATATGGGATAACAGTAAGGCTAAACACAGGACACGCGGACTAAACATCAATTCAAGGTACAAACGTACAACAGCCCGACCTTCTGCGACCATTGCGGTAGCCTGCTCTACGGTATCATCCACCAGGGCATGAAGTGCCAAGGTACAACACCCATTCCTATCAAACAATACGATTGTACATTGCAAATTACATGAATATTCTCTGTATGGTGTGGACTATGTTCTCGAATGGTGTTATGTATGTGGCTTTAATTTTCAACCCCGTTTCGTCCTTAAACTCGTTTATTCCTATTCTCAAAACTTTCCCCTCAATTCGGCAACACGATTCTATACGCTTTATCTTCTCTCCGTTTAATAACACCATGTGGAAAAAGAAAGAATAAGACGCTCGGAAGCTTTTTAATCGCGAAACGCGTAAAATAATAATTTTATTCTGTTGCGTCATCAATAAAGATTAACGAATGATTATTATTATTAAAATTACCCAAAACATAGTTGTTTGTAATTGTCTAAAACAGCACAATAAATATTATTAATAGATATTGTCAAAATAAAATGAATTATTTCATTATTTATATATACATATTCTGCTTCGTCCTTTTCCTTTATTTCATTAGTATAATATATATATATATATATATATATATATATATATTCGTTTAATAAGATGGTTACTTTTACTTTACCCACTCACTTAATTTACTTACGTAAAGCAATGAAAAACCTTTCTTACGTACATCCACGATGAATTCAAATTATTTCTCGCATCTTTCATAACGAATATTTCAATTCAATACAATTGCACATTTTAATTGGGACTTTGAAAAGTCTCTATTCTTAAACTTTATTCAATTTAGTTATAATTAACTTTCATTCCCGCGCGAAACAAATCGCTTTATTCTTCTTTTCATCTGCTTACATGACCTTTCTCACAACTCACTTCAGTCAGACTAAACTTATGCAATATGCATATGCACTTTTCTCCTTCAAATCTTTCGATTTTCCCTTCATTCCCCCCCCCCCCCCCATATGTAATGTTCTTCATCGAGTACTTCACGGCGATAATCGATTTGCCGTACCAAAGAACAACCGAGCAAGTGCAATATGTACGCTTTCATTTTTTTCTTTCTTAATGTTCATGCATTCTTTGCGTCTCTCTCCCTCTCTCTATCTCTCTCTCTCTCTCTCTCTCTCCGTCTTTCACTTTCATGTCTTCAAATATTCTAGTAATTTTCTTGAATGTCGTCTACAACTGACACAATAATCACATCTATCCATTTTCTACCTAAGCGTAAGCCAATTTTTTTATTACATTTAATTCATGTATTGACAATTTCAGTGAGCGTACTATATCTTGACGTATATAAAATTTTTTACCATATTTATTTATATGTCTGGATCTGTATTTTAAATTAAATCTATACAGGACAATTAATTATAAAGAATTTATCGATAATTTTACATTTGATGATACTTCATGAACATTTTGTAAGATAACAATTTGTAAGCAAAACATTACTTCTTTTAATTCTTAATTTAATAAATCGAATACAATTTACGTGATGAGTCGGTAGTCTCGTAATTCTTGTAAATAAAAATAATAAATTCTCAACAATCAACCTAACGTAATTCGAAAATTCTTTTAATCAACTTGTTTTTTGTTTTTTATTGTTTATTAAGAAAAATTTTACGAATTCCTTAATGATTTTTAATTTCTATTATATTATGATAAATAATATTATTTTTATAAAAATTATAATTATTTTTTTTGTATCTCGGTAGTCTGCAATTTAAACCTTTTACAGTATCTTATTTCCTTCCTAGTTTACGCATAAAGCGAAAACGTGAAAAAAAAAAATAAATAAATAATAAGCATAAAATGCAATATATTGCTTATGCTATGTTCATTAAATTCTCTAATTTGAGAATGAAAAATTTTGCCATCCTAGGTGGATAATGAAGAGAGTAAAAAAGTAAAAGTGAACGCAAAGTACACTGTTATAAGAATGCAACATATAAGATTGAAATGGAAAGAAAGAGGAGCGCATACTAAAGTAAAAGATAAACGAAGAAAACCATAGGATCGTGTAATAAGAGTTTCGATGATTTTTTTTTTTTGTCTCTTTACTCTCTTTTGTCCTAGGCTTGAGAAAATTAATACATAAAAATCTGTGCAAACAGCACCATAGCTGGCTTAATGGTTTTCTTTCTTTCGCTACAAAAGTTCGCTACTATCTTATAAAAAGTCTTTACATATTACATTCTTTTATTACACTATTTTTATTTCATCCATTTTCCTGTTTATATTTTGATATCCTCTCTGAAATTCTAAATGTTTTCTTTTTTTCTATTTGACCTATTTTATATGTTGTATACGTATGCGTGCATTGGTTTACAGAAAAACACGCGTATACATACATGTATATATGTGCTTTTGCGTGTAAAATATCGAAAGCCTTGAGTGATATGTTTCATAATCGTCGTACATTTTTGTTTATAAATATCCACATTTATACACTTTCTTTATGTACATATAATTTATTATGAATATTGAACGAAATCTTATAAATATTTGTCTCTAATAAATGTCGAATTATTGTATTCTAAACGAAATTCCATAAATATCGTACAGATATTCCTATTTTATAATTTGTATTAGTTTTTCTTATAAAAGCTTGAAGAAATAAAATTTTTCAAAAATTCTCAATACTTTTTCCATAATAAATAAGGATTTAATACATATTATCATTTTTAATACGACTCAATTAGAATACCAATTCCATAAAAGACTGAATAGATAATTGAATAATAATCAAATATTTTAGGTTACATACCTTTATTAATATCTACAACTTGAATGTGTATGTTTTTGTATATCTCTCTTGTTTTACTATTTCTTTATCTATGATGTATCTCCTTCTCATATTTATCATTACTATTATGGTATTAATATGGTATTACTTAACTTTTATATGTATATATATTTTAACAACTGTATATAATATAATAATGTTTATTGTTCATTCATATCGTAAATTGCTTAAATTCTTATCTGCTTCTATCTAACATTCTTAATATCTTTTTCTCTTACAATGTATTATATTGATTTGGTACATAAAATATAATCACATTTGTGATTTTTTTTTTTTTATACTTACGATTGCCTCTCTAAAAACAGTATTAATATTTGTCTATTAAAATTTAACATTACGCATTTTAATACGAATATCATTATGTAAATGTTACAAACACTTTATACAATCAAATTTCACCGTTAATATCTTTAGCGAGTGTTCACATTTATTTTTATGATATTTTATGTATTGTATCGATATTTCTATAAGCCTCAATTCTATTTAGATATGTTACAGCACTTTTAATATGCATATAAAATTAATCGTATTTTGAATTTAAATACATAAGAGTAATTTAAGCACATAATAAGTGACTCACGAAAACTGTAGTGCACAAACAATGTAATAATAACAATAATATATTATATCACTTTCCATTCATAATATGAATATTTGCTCAATCTAATATTTTACCTAAAATAAGCAGAAAGACAAAAAAAAAAAAAAAAAAAAAAAAAAAAAAAAAATTTATAATTCGATAGACGTGAAACACCGAACCGCATGTGGACGGTAAATTAAAAACATATCGATTCATGAAAAATCCGTTAATGTCTGACACGCCATAAATTGCTATTATTCTTTCGTGTTAGTCTTACTAATTACGAAATGGAAAGAGAAATCGGGATCGATTTGTCTCGATATTTCTGATTACTCGGATCTATCAATTTTTCGTTCAAATTTTGCCTTCCATTAACTCCAAGATTTGATTCCATAATAATCGAATAAACAGAGTAATCGCTATTTAATCACTTCATCAGGATACGTTGCTTCCTTATTCTTTCTCTATATCGTTTTCAAGGCGAAAATAGTATATTTGTAATTTTATTGATCTATTTGCCATTCTGCTTTATCCTCACTCTTTTCATTTTTTATACCTTCTTTCATTACCACGATTTTTATCGACAATATGCTCTCATAACTAATTGTCAATAATTGAATAATTTCAATTATTTCACCAAATTGAGAGAAATATCTAATAGTCCACTATAGTTGTAAGCTCAAAAATTTATGGCTAAAAATGCATTTTTATAAATCAAAATTCTCAAGTGATATTCGCTATTTAATTTATACGCAATTTCTATGTGGATTTAATTAAATGAATGAATTTAAATTTACGTTTAAAAATATTATTATCAATAAATATAAAATTTAATAAAAATAATATATCAAGTCACTTAGTTGTAGAAAAATTTTAAATTAAAATACTATTTTGGTAGGTTGTAGTTTTATCATAAGCAACATTTTTACATATAAAGTTATCATCGATTGTTGTTGGTATATTTTAATATTTATTTACTTTTATGAATTTTATTTATTAAAATTTAGACCTTTATTATAAAAATTCTGATTAAATACTTCTCAAGCATTAGTTTTACTTCATATTTAACTTCATAAATTCGTTTTTATTTAAAATTTTCTTACTCTTAATTACGATCAATTAGAATTTTATTTTAATAAAATTGTAAACTATAATAATAAATCTTAGTTAATTTGTAGATATCGATATCTATAGAATTCATTTGTGAGATAAAATATTAATGGGGTAAAAAATCATCAGAATTAACATATTATGTTTAGTATATCGGAAGAAAAATAATATATCGAATTCATTGCAAACTATTTACAATAACATATTTTATTATAAATCTTCTGTTATCATATCGTAAAATCTAATGATTAAATTATTTTTAATTATAATTTTTAATTATATTTGTAATTATCGCAGCATAAAAGTTATATTTAAAATATTAGTCATGATTATTGATCTACGATTAATTGTTAATTATCTCTAATATTTCCATAATATATAAAATTTCGGTAATATATATCTGTAGAATATATGTAATGTATAATATATTTAAAATCTTTTTACAACAAGTTAGTTAATTTTTCGTTGATCATTTGTTCCAGAGCTTTACAAAGTATAATAATATTATAATCAAATTTTTTATATGGAATAAATATTCTTGAAATAAATGCACTATATTATTCAAGAAGCATCGAGAAT